AAAAAAAAAAAAAAAAAAAAGAATTTATCAGACTTTAAAGCAGCCATTAAAACCATGATCCATAGACTGACTAGAGCCAAACATGGTTGAAAGGAATAAAAAGCAGACATTTATAATTAGAGAAATTAAAACTATAGACCATAACCCAATAGAAAAGTACAGTATTCAAAGTTAGAAATGACTAAATATTCAGTAGCCAAATGGGAGCTATAACAGTTGAAAATGAGCAGTAGAAATTATGAATTCTGAAAGGCAAAAGAAAAAGGTTGAGACAGCAGAGAGTGAGTTGAACCACAGGACTGCATGGGACAGAAATAAAGGACGTAAAGTTTGTGTCATTGGAAGGGAGGGGAAAAGGTTAATACAGGAAAGCACTGAACATGAAACAGCCAAGGTTTCCTATTAGATATTAAGTAGAGATCCAAAAGTTTAATACATCCTAGATGGGTGCTAAAAAAAAAAAAAAAGCTTGCCCAGACATGTCTCATGATTAGTCACCTGCAAATCAGAGATGATGAGAATCTTGAAGGACTCTGAAAGAAAATGATACAGAGGAAATGAAAGTTCAAATGATAGCAGATTCCCCCTAAAAATTATAGGGGATGAGAAGTGAGGAAGATGCTTTTGTTATCAGAAGGAAAATAGGGCCATTTAGCCAGTCATATTTCTATGATATGCATACTCAGGAACCCGAGAAGGAAGAGTCTGAGTAGGAAGACAGCCTGGGCTATCTCATAAATTTTAGAGCAATCTGGGCTACATGTTAAGAGTCCTTTTTAAAAAATGTTTTTTGTGTGGATGGTATGTGCACCTGTATGGTCAGAAGAGGACATCAAATACTGCCTTTTATCATCACTCTGTGCCGTATTTCTTTGAGGCGGGGTCTCTCCCTGAACCAGTAGCTCATGGGGCTACATTGACTGCCAGCAATCCAAAATTACCCTTCTGTCTCCAACTCCCTATAGTGTTAGAGATGCACGTGTGTGCCAGACCACCCTCAACCTGTTACATGGATGTTGGGTCTGAAGATCCAAATTCAGATCCTCATGGCTGCACAGCAAGTATGCCTGCCCATTGAGCCATCTCTCCATACAGACTTTTTTTTTTAGGTGAAATAAAACTAAGAATTTTTACCATCAGATTTGCACTAGAAAAAAATACTTCATAGTATTATACTTTCATATCGAAAAGTACTTCATAGTAAAACAATAAATATTACTAGAAAAAAAAACTTGAAGGAAAGCAAGAACAACTAATAACAAAAAATTAAGTTAGGGCCTGATATGATGGTGAACACTTTTAATTCCAGCATTAGGGAGGCTGATTCGGGCATGTTTCTGTTAGTCCAAGCCTCATCTAGTGTACATAGTGAGTTTCAGGTCAGCTAGAGCTATGTAGATTGTGTGTGTGTGCGTGCGTGTGTGTGCGTGCGTGTGCGTGTGTGTGTAGTATGTATATATTATGTGTATATACATAAATAGATGCATGCATATTCTGTGTATAGAGAGGAAGGGAGAAAACAAAAATGAAAAACTGGCCTTGAATTCAGTATGTAGTCCATGCTGGCCTATAACTTGTTTAAAGTTATCAACCCACGTATTTCTGAGTTACCCATGGGCCAAGAGAAAGTCTCAAGAGAAATTTGAAAATAGCTTTTGCTGAATGAAAAGCTTTATCATACAATATATGAGGCAAATAAAAAAACAGTAAGAGTGAATTTATAATGTTAAATCCTCTTTTTCAGTCAATAATCTAATATTTTTACCTTAAGAAACAAAAAAATGAAGAGATCCAAAATGAGAAATTAAAAAATAATAAAGAGGGGAAATAAATAGGAAAACAGTTTAGAAAATCATTCAAACTCAGGCTGTGGGGGTAGGCTTGTTTTTTGTGCTGTCAGGGGTGGAACTCAAGGTTGCACACATGCTAGATAAGTGTTCTACCCTGAGCTGATAGTACCAGACCACTCAACCCAAAATCTGATTTGCTGGAAAGGTAAAACATCTAAGTTTCCCCAATCACACTGACCAAGAAAACATATGCATACCACTAAAGGCTATGTAGACATTAAATGGATAATATGAATGACTCTACCCTAAATTTGAAAATAATGCTCGAAAAGGCACCAGAACTGATATTTTTTTATATTTTTTTTATCTACCTCTCTTTGCTCAAGAAGAGGTAGATAGGACTTGGTATAGAGTCTAGTCAAAGAGCTTTGATGCAGCACACTGAAGGCCTGAGTATAGTTTCTCGAAAATACCACCAAAAATAGGTAACATGAAAAGTCCTGTTCATTAAAGAAATTGAATCTCGTTAAAAACTTCCAAAAAAGAACACCATGGGTCGGGTTCTAAAACGTTTATTCTAGTCTTGAAAGCCTGAACATTTGAAAATCATTCAGGCAATGTAATTTATCAAATTAATAATGAAAGAAGAAAATGATAGTAGCTTAAATAATACAGTAAGTATTTGGCAAGAGTCTCTGTTCATTTTTATAAAAGTTCATAAAACTAAACTGAAAAGAGCAATACAAGTTTAGCAGCTTAAAAGAGCACAGTTGTCCTTTAGCTCCTTTATGTCAGAAGCCCCACTGTCCTGCTTGGGGTCAGGGTGTGTAGGGCAACATTCCATAAGGCTCTGGGAAGCAACCTACTTCTAAGCCCATTGTAGTCAGCCCATTCAGCCTCGGTGTTATGTTGGGTCCCTGCTTCCCTGGTCAATGTTTGGTTTTCTTGTAAGTTGTCTTATAAGTTGTTTTTCTTCTCACGTGTGTTTCAGGGCACCCTCTGAAAACTTTTGTTGGTCCCATCACACTTCTAATCTCTCCAACTCTAGATACAGATAGGTCTCTTTGACAGTTGAGAATAATTCTTCTGTATCAAATTCCATAACCTATTTAGTTATAGCTATGAAACCCCATTACCCTCTGACATATATGTAACATTCAGGAATTGGGACATGCTATCCTTATAGGGCCATGTTGTCTGTGATAGTAGCCATTATCAACTGATTTACTAATTAGCTATCTTATTCAGAAAAGGTAATCATAAATTCTGAAAGCCCAAGCATTATTGGAGCAGATGAAATAATTTTAACTATAAAATTGTATGATCTATAGTTAATATAAGCATTCTTCACATCCTTGAAGTCCACGATGGTATTTGTTGAATATATTGGGTATGTTACCCAATATAGCAGAAAACGCTTTGATCGTTGAGCTAAAAGAACTCATTTTCTTCATGAAAGTATACTTGAAGTTAATTCAGTAAACAAATGGATGGGAAATGTGGACAGGCTGGGAAAGTCCACACGGAACATGTCACCACTGTTTCCTGCTTGCCATTTGTCACAGAGAGGCTGTAGGCTAGAATATCTGGATTACTTACTGGATAATACTTACTGGGCTGATAGATCTGAACAGTGGCTATTAATTTGAGAGTAGAAGTTAAAAGTCAGAAATTGTCTTGCACAGATAATCTACAAGAATCTGTTGGAAAGTGACTGAGTTTGAGAATATTGCAATTAATAAGTATTTGCTGTTCTGTCACTGTGTAGATTTATATCCAGCTGTGTATGTATAGAAGGCTCCCATGTCTCAAGCCATCACCCTCTGGTCTATAAATCACACTTGGTGGCTATGAAATAATGGTGGTCTGTGGTGTAACATAAAAAGCCCATAAAAAATTCTGTGACTTACAGGCAAGCTAATGAGTTCATGAGCCTCAGGTTAGTCAGCTATAAAATAAACATATAAATAAAGGCTGTACACTGAAAGCGCTTTCTTTTGTGGTAAAAAAAAAAAAAGCAGGTAAATGACTTCAAGACTGTTTCTCAAATGTATTTAATTTCCATCCTCAGTATCAGCATTCATACATAATATTCAGGCTCCTTTATACTGCCTGTACTTTTAATGCCTCTTAGAATTATGCCCAATATATTTATTTAGCCTTTAAAATAAAAATTCTGAATTGTAAATACACTCAATATAAAAGGGGGGAATATCTGATGTAGAACATTTTGAAATTGTAGATTTTCTCATGGTTAAAAAAAATCTACTAAATGAATCTGCATATTATCTGAGTTCTGTTATTCCACCAGGAATAAACCCCATTTTACTGACAGGACAGTTGTAGAAGGAAGGACTAAAGCTAGTAGTGTTAGCATTTGTAAACATCAGGGTAGAACAGTCTACCAAGTTTCATGTGTTCTCTCCCATTACTCAAAAAGAAGAGATCTTTTTTCCTTTTTAGTTAACATTTGATTTTTTATTTCAGTGAGTAGAAGTAGTCCTAATTAGAATTGTCTTATATTTTGTAGAAAGCAAGTTTAAGGATTAAACTATCATCATTGTTTCCTGGAAGCTTAAAGCTGTATTTAATTTGAAATATATATTCCCAGCTCCCAATGTTTACTTACAAAACCTCAGCATGCTACTAAAGTCTTAGCTTAAAATAGTTTCTAAGGTATGTCATGCCTCTCAGGTTTAAAGGCGAGACCCAGCTATCATCTTTAACTACAGCACATGTGGCCTTGCCCACTGTCTCTTGTTAGCTGGTAGAAAATGTCAAGAGTTCTTTCTTTTGTTAGGAATCCTTTTATTTTGTGAATGGGGAAACTGAGGCTCAGTCCCCAACCTTCCCCATGCCCCACACCTACCCCCTAGTTCAGGGCAAAAACATATAATGTCTTTTATTCTTAGCCACATGGTTTTTCTTCTACATTGTTTGCTTGATAGTTTTTTTGTTGTTTTGTTTTGTTTTTAACAGAAAGCTGGAGATAATTCAGTGGTAGAGGGCTTGCCTACCATGAACAAGGCTCTAGATTTGCCCCTACCATCATAGAAATAAGAAGAAAATATTGTATACCTACTTAAACTAGGGATATCTGTATATATCATGTCTTATTAAAGCAGAATACATTTGGAAGAGTAATTACTAAAAATTAAAATTTCATTTAAGTAAAATGTATATAATTCTGTTTACTTCTTATGTTTACAGGTGAAAAGAGATTTGAATGTCCAGAATGCTCTAAAAGGTTTATGCGGAGTGATCACCTCTCCAAGCATGTCAAAACTCACCAGAATAAGAAAGGAGGTGGGACAGCTCTTGCCATTGTTACCTCCGGAGAACTGGACTCATCTGTTACAGAGGTGCTTGGCTCTCCACGGATTGTCACAGTTGCCGCCATTTCTCAAGATTCGAATCCAGCAACTCCCAATGTTTCAACAAACATGGAAGAATTCTGAAAAGCTATTTATAACAAAGACCTCTAGTGCTGCACTTAAGTTTACACACCTTTGAAAATCTGGAAATGGGCTGGTCAAGTGGATTACAGAGTAGGAAATCACGTTTGCATCCTTGGCATCTTTAAGTATTCCAGGGATTTTGGTTCAACACATAAAGTGTTGAATTTTTAAAAATAGGAAAAGAAAACCAATATACTGGAAACAGAAAAGTATTTCTTCCATGGTATAAGTTGCTGTAGTTTTTTGGAAATACATCACATAACCTTTAAACAGAATCTTCTTCCTTTAACATCCTGTGTTGTTGACATGTCTAAAGAGACAGACCACACTAATTTGCAGGCTGGGCCTTAATTGGACTTTCTCTGTTTGGAAGAACTTTGTTAAAATTTTAGTCAGTAATAACATACATTTCTTCTACTGTCTAGCACAGAAAACAGATTGTTATCTGACAATAGGGATAATACTGTGTTTCTTTAGCTTGGTTTTTGGAAATACCTATTCAAAAATAGTTTTGGCCGTCTTTTCTAAATATCAAAATTCTTCAAAAGTTGAATTAGGATACATTGTTCCAAAATAGTAATCTGAGCTGTGTCTCAGATCTTTATTACACTACATTGTAGTAGTGTGTGTGCAGACAATCAGTGAAACCCAATTATTTTCTCCATTTTGGAGATAAAAGAGGACCTTAGAGCTAAATCTTAGGTTAAATTTTAGATTGAAACCTTAGGAAAATGCTGGGGGAAAATGTGTTAGAACAGAATTGATGATAGCCTCAGAAAGGCAAGACAAAGCAGTTTAACAATATTTTAAAGTTAGGGTTGACTGTGTGCCTAACCATGTGTTCAATACCGAAATTTCATTTTAAATGTTCATATTGGAAATACTTGCATAGATTATAGATCTGTGTAATTTCATATTCTGTAAATACGAGTTATGTTGACAATATGCAGGATTCTTTATGCTTTGGTAGCCAAAGAAAGAATTATCATACTTTTCAAGGCCAGCAGAAAATTATTTTTAATTACATTATAATCTTTTTTTTTCTTTACTAAAAATTGGCAAATCCCATTTTATTTCTAGTATTGTGTTAGGCTAATTAGGAACATGTATCACAGTGATATCTTTATGTTATATCAATAGCAGAATTTTCCCTAAAGGTCTAGACAGCTTAACAAATGTATAATAGATACGATATTATGAAGCAAAAATTATTTTTGGAAAACCAGAATACTTTTCAGTCAAATATTGACTGAAAATATATTTCATTGTGCAAGGGTCTTAGAGAGCAGTGTCTTATTAGGAAAGATGGCCAAACGTTTCATATGAAAAACAATCGGATTATTCTAATAGATTAGACATTGGTAAGACACTTCATGTTTTTAGAACGTATTTACAAAGAATCATAACTATTGAACCCAGACCATTTGGAAACTAAAGTTTTTACCTACTTCCTTTTTTACCATCATTGGTTTGAATATAGGTATATGGTTTCTTGTTTATTCTTTATTATTTTAGGAAAAGTACTACTCATGAGAATTCTCTTCCAAAATTGTGATGTTTCATGTATTTTTTGATGAAGGAGAAATACTGTAATGATCACTGTTTACACTATGTACACTTTAGGCCAGCCCTTTGTAGCGTTATATAAAACTGAAGGTCTTTTGTGCTTTCGGTTTGTATAAAAAAGCTTTGAGATTAAAGGAAAAAAATTTTTACACTGTGGTTATAAATTTCAAGTTTCTTAAAGCTTTTGTAGACTTGTAACAAAGTCTTTAAATTTTAGTTGGATTTTGTAAATTGTTTTGTATATTTTATTTAATGTACTCTTAACAGCTGATGGATCTGGCTTTAAAACATCAGAATCAGTTTGTTGTTTTGTCTGGTACAGAGGAGCATTTGGTAATGTTAATTTTAATTTTATTATATAGGAGCTGAAACATCAAATATATTTTATCTATCATGCTACACAATCAGTGCTATCAATTTTTTTTATGCAAAGAGACTTTCTTAATGTTTTAATCATGTTTCCTCCAAGCGATACTTTCTGTTGTTTGCACCAAGTGTGAGCGCTCTGCATCACTGTTCCACAAGCCAGTTTTATGCAACCCACGTACGCTCATCAGAAGTGCAAGTTGTCCTCATCAACAATGAGGTCTATTATATATGTATCAGACTGAATCTGGATAACCTTAGAGCATATAAAATAACCTGTCAGCAGCACATTTCACCACTGAAATCAGACCTATTTTGGCAGTCTGTTCTGCATACCATTCTGAGTCCACCTTCCTTTCTGTCTGACAGCAGTCGTAGATTTCAGTGTCCTGTGTTTGACTCAGTGGGATGTAGCTGTGGTAGGGCACAGATACGCAGTACAGTCTCGTGAAGGGCATTTCTCTGCTTACTCTCCTTGCCACCATTATGAAGCTTTTCTTTGTAAAATTATCAGTGCGAAGCTCTGTATTTACCATGGTAGAACTCCAGTGTTAGAATAGTTTTCTCTTACAGTATACTTTCTTTGGTTAGGTTTGTGTATGTGTTGCTGATTACATTAGAAGTTGATGTTAAGTCATTATTTATCACACTCATGAGAGCAGTAATAAAAGTGTGTAATCTAGGAGAAAAAGTTAATTTGTCAAACTTAGATAAGCATGATGTTTAGGTCCTATTTTTCAATTTTATAACTGTTTTATTGCAACAATATTTGTACTTAAGTCTCCATTTTAATGCCTTGTGGTGTTTTTTTATGCATGTCACTAAGTTGTCATCCCACATAAATTGATGTGCAGCATAGGGTATTAAATCTACATAATGATTTTAAAACAGATATAGTTGATGGTAAAATGTAAATGTTTTGCAGAAATTCCTTATAAAAAGTTTCGTAGTAACATTTCACTTGTAAATTTTTGTAAAAAAGGAAATGGACAAAAAAAGATGAATCCAGAAAAAAAAAAACCTGTTTTCCCATATTCTAGAATTTAGACAATTTATTCTGCCAGCAAAGCCTCTGGGGCTGTAATTGACATTTTTACAGTGCTGATTTGTATAAAATTTGTTTTTTGTGGATTTGGAAATAAAATCATGTACAAGTTGTTGCCTGCAGTAACAATTGCAAGTAACCTATTAAAGTCCCCTTGGGTTGAACATGCCTCATTTAATTATGTATACTATAGAGCAGCAATAAAGTGTTTAAACTACCAACCTTCTCATCACGGTGAACACTGAAAATTTAAATACCTCTCACTAGAACATATATTGGCAACCCTTCTTAATCCCGGTTTTGAGATCTGATCAACATGCCTCTGAAAATACCACCAAAGAACACCAGTTTAAATTGCATGTTAATCTGTGACCATTGCTATAGACATTTGTGGAAATTAAATTTTGATTTAGAGACATTTTTATTTAAATAACTTTAATCAATAAGTATTAGGAAATAGATGGTCTTAAAAAATGAAAAACAAAATTAAAATACTATTTAAGTTCACAGCAATATTTAAGTTCACTTAGAAGCCTTGTAGGCCACCTAGGTGTGGAAAAGTCTGTAAGGAAGAGCTGTCTTCCTTCTGGGAGAGACTTGCATGTCTCACAGAAACCTTACTGCCACGAGAGTCCATTACAGTATGGCTTGAATGGACACATTTCTAAGTGTGCAGAGACAGCGAAACTGTAGGGGAGAACTGGGGGGTGTTAGGCACAAAAGGAAGTGAGCTGCCCACAAGCTTTATTTAAACATGGAGGAGATAGGATGGTTACTGTCTGGGGACGTAGCTTGTATGGCAGTGTAAGGGCATGGCTCCATTACAGTGCACAAACCTACATAGCATAACAGTGATCAAAACAAGAAGCAGTTAAATTTATGTTCCTCTACCAAGTAACAACTTTGTCAGAAGCTTTCATGTCAAAAGTAAAGGTTCCCATCATGACCAGGACTGCATAACTATGCCTGATTCTTATTCCCCTGAGTCCTTTACTTAAGCCCAAAGCTCATGTTGCTACCCCAAAGATAAACTTGGGGTGGGGGGGGGTGGGATCCTTGACCTCTTTATCTATTCCTTACCAGTGAGCACCAATTAAATTTCTACTTTTTAATCCTCCCCAAAACACGTCCATGTTTCAATTTTCTGAAAGATTAACGTATGTACTTATCAGGATGACATTGCATGAAAAGATAATGAAATTTAAAATCTGAAACTTTAAGTCCAGTAAGGGTTTGGTTTCTAAGCTAGGAATTCAACCACATGAGCAAGAACAAAACGTAAAGTAAGATTAGTCAAGATCACACTCCTGACATGAAACTATTTAGTGTGGAGCTAAAAGCAGTGGTTAGAGCCACTGTTGTAATAGCTGTGGTTGACAGTGTCTTGTTAAAGAGAACCTTGAAGTCAGAAAACTCACGTTTGACACAGCTTTTCTGTATTTAAAGTCTAGGTGTAAGTTATAGGGGTACTGAGACTTCAGATACCAGTAGGAAATGGAATTCTTTGATTCCTCAGTGATTGTTGTTCGTGCTGTGATGTGCATAATATGTAATTGTGTTGCAGGATTTTAAAGGCATTTTCTAAGACTTGCTGGTTGGCATAGCCTTGGGTTCTGCTTCTCTTAGTTGCAGGTTGCAATGAAATAATTTATTTTCAGATACCTGAGCAAGATCTCAGGTGGTGGGAAGCAAGGAAAGAAGAGGGAAAAGAAAAGAGCACAAAGGGCTGTTGGTAATGCGGAGTTACTCTCCATGGTGGTAGCTCTTGGGAAAAAGGAGCCAGTGTTCAGACTGGGTTCCTGATTTAGCTGTTGATGAACTAGTAGTCTTACTGCATTGTGTCCTTATTTGCACAATTATCATTGACACTGTAGTAAGTATACCTAGTATCTGGCAAGCAGTAGCATTCACAGTAGCTAACCCAGAAGGGGTTACTTTATTCATGATACTGTGCCAAAACAGCATAAGCTGGATGGCTTATAGACAATAGAAAGAAGCCCAAAGTCACAGTTCAATGTCCCTTGACAACACATGTTCCCTTCAGATAGTAGGATGAGGTGGTTTTCTGAGGGCCATTTTTTTTTCGTGGAGTACTAATACCATTTCATGAGGATGCCGTTTTTATGATCTTACCACTTCTTAAGAGGCCCCCACCTCCTCTGCTATGTTGGTAATTGGATTTCAACTTGGGGATCTGGAGAGACAAAACCATCAGACCCAGCAGGAGGCATTGAATAGTTCCCAACAAGATTAATGGTGAAGTGCATGGAAACAGAGCATCATGTTGCAAAGCTGGCTCTCTAAATTACATCAAAGGAATTTCAGTGAGAATTTCCCATTTCAAGCATGTTTTTCTCAAGATGAGCTAGTTTGAGGTATTGTACCTCAGAATTACATGAAAGCACCCTATCCCTCTGGAGTGGCATGATTCACTGGGAACAAGATTGAAGATACTGAAGCACATCAAGATTGTGCCTCCTGGGAGGAGCCAAAGCAGGGCAAGTAAGGATGCCCAGGTTTTGAGACAGCTGAGAAAGCTCATCCAGTTGCAGTGATCAGACACCAGCAAGGGATGGGAGACAGGAAGAGAGAAACCTGCACAGATGCCTCAAGCAACAGTTCATCTTCGCATCCTACCTTTCTAGGTAGTTGGCTTGGTTTAAAGTGTGTTATTTATTACCCTGCTATGAAATGCAGTCTAATAAATATTTTATTTATAGTATTTTTGTGATGTGGAAGCTATAATAAAGTTATATTTTCTGCTGATAAAATTGTTTCTAGCTTGTATAATTTTATGCCAGAATTAAAGGTATGAGTAATTCATGGCTATGTAAATGGCATCATGATTTCTAATTATTTGATCACCTAACAAGTTCGAAAACCACTACTGAGGAAAATACCATAAAAGTAAGCAAGCTAACAAAAAAGAAAAATATTCAATTCAATAACTGGTTACACCTTTAGTTAGTGTAACCATATTATATCTTTACAGTAAGTAGCTTTTGCTTTGTGTATGTGTTTGGTGGTGTGTTATATCTCTAATGATGCTTTGTAAGAATGGAGCTTATGAGTTAACTGTATTCCTTTCTAATTTCATGGACAGAAAAATATTGTTGAAAGGATCAAATGATTTTGATGGTCATATGTTAGTTTATCTAAAGAATCTGAGGTGGTGGTGGACGTCCATGTTGTTTATTTGGTTTTGTTTTCTATAATGTAGATGGCAGTTTGTATTAAAAGTCTATGTAAATTGGTCCACAGCTTCTGTAAGTAACTGGAAGTACTTTCCTTTTATATCCCATTTGTGAACAAAACATACTTATGAAAAAGTGAAAAAATAAGCAGACCTGGAAGACTTCTTGGAGTCTTGCAGACTTGAGCATCTTTCTGTATTTTTAGGAAAAGAATTATCTTGCTGATAAAGGTGAAATTTAAATATTAATTTAATTAAACTTATTTGAATCTATGATCTTGGCAGTTCTTGAAAGCATTAACATTATGAGGTAAGAATCCCCTCCCCTTGAAAATAAATACAAATAAGTACTTCTGCTTATATACTTTATTCTAATGAAATTTTGGTTAGATTTGTTAATAGAATGTTTGTGTCTTTTAGGAAAACAGAAAATCCCTTTATTCTAGCATTCAGAATAATCCCAAAGTATGATTTTCAGGAAACTCCAAACAAACTCTACTCTGGTAATTTTTCTCTTTTAAGCTGGAAAGTTGCCACAAACTAGAATTGAAATCCATGTAGCTTGTTCCAGAGATCTGTGTTGTGCTTTTTAATTTATCTTACCCAGTTGGTCAAGTGATTATTGCTTCATTCTTAAAAGGCAGCAACAATTGAGGTTCTATATATCTAGATAAAAACAAATAAGTACCCTATTATAAGTTTAGTCTATTCCCCTTAAATTATTATTTTAAAAAAGTTCTCTGTTTCCATATCTACGGTTTGGGATACTTCTGAATTAATTTTAGAACATAATCTTCAAGGAGATTGTGTCAAGAGTGGAAATTTTACAAGTGACTGTCCCAGGGGCACCCTTGTGAAAGGCTCCAGGGAGCTAGATTGGCCTTTCCCCCACCCCCCACCCCCTGCCCCATGTAAATGTACACAAAGAAGATGCCGTCTGTGAACCAGAGTGTGAGCCATTACCTGACAGAATCTAAGAGTCTTTACTTTGGGCCTCCCAGCCTCAAGAACTGAGAGATTCATGTTGTTGATAAGCTGCTTAATTTGTGGTATTTTTATTATTGCAACTCAAAGACAAGGGTGACCACCAAGGTACTTAATGAAACACAAAGTCCAGTTAGCAAAAGAGATGTACATAGTGACAGAGGAAAACTCCCAGACTAACAGCTCTTTCTCTGCTTCACTTCATTGCTGGATCCCGGGTCGAAGTAGGGGAGTTGGGAACTAGAAATGTCTATTACCTTCTGGTATGTGGAACATTCTCAATATTTTAATAACCAGTATGGTCCCAAATGTCATTAAGCTCTGTTTATACCCTTGCTTTTGATATTTGAATGGAAAAACCCAGTTCATCAAACATCCATTTAACCGCTAAAAGAATTTTTTTATAAAGTCCATGCTTTAGGTAGTACTTTGTTTAAACATGAAAATATAGGCAGAAGTCATTTTACTTCAAAATCATTAGGGCTGACTAAAGACTTCCCATAAAACTTGTATAAGATACAAATTGACTTGATCATCATACCTTGAACAATTTAAACAGGTAAATCAGAGAACTGGTTAATGAATGTGTTAATAGAGTAACAAGATCAATTTCTTCCAAAAGTTTTCTTTGCTATTTATGAATGTAGGGTATGAGCAATTACTTTATACACCGCCGAGAACCTCATCCTTTATCCTGCAACTTGGTGTTCTGTTGCCTAAAAGTTTTCATTTATACCTATGAAAGCTTCTCTAGACATTTCATCATTTGCTCTCATACACTGAAGAACAAAAGTCCTCCTTCATGCCAGGGATGAAATTTCCATTCATGGTTTTGTCTGGGTGTTAAAGATTTTTATTGTTTTCTTTGCCTTGTTTTTGAGATAGAGTCTCCTGTAGTCTAGCCTGGTCTTGAACTTGATATATAGCCAAGGAAGCTCTTGAACACCCAAGCCCTTTGCCCCTACCTCCCTCTCAAATGCTGGGGCT